TCCAGTCAACCAGATGTTTGTCCACCCCAGCGTCCTCCAGCTTCCCCCTCAGCAGCACCGGTCTGATGGTGTTGAAAGCGCTTGAGAAGTCAAAGAACATGACTCTCACAGCGCTCCCGGTGGTCTCCAGGTGGGTGAGCGCTCGCTGCAGCAGGTAGATGATGTTACTCCATCTACTCCGATGTTGGGCCGGTAGGCCAACTGCAGCGGGTCCAGGGTGGGGCTCACCATGGTGCGAAGGTGGGCTAGGACGAGGCGCTCCATGGTCTTCATCAGGTGAAAGGTCAGGGCGACTGGTCTGAAGTGGGCCGGTTCCCTGGCATGTGGCGTTTTGGGAACCGGTACCACACAGGAGGTCTTCCACAGGGTGAGGACCACCCCCAGGCTGAGGCTCAGGTTGTAGATGTAGCTGAGGACCTGACAGAGCTCATCTGCACAGGTTGCTCCGCCCACTGAGGTGGTGAGGGGCGTGGCTCCGCCCACTGAGGTGGTGAGGGGCGTGGCTCCGCCCTCTAAGCGCTGCTTCCTGTTCCAGGTGAGCCGCTTCAGCCCCTACAAGTGGAAGGGGGAGGAGTCCGACGATGACGAGGAGGCCCCGCCCACTTCCTCCGAACACCCGCTAGGTATGTCAGATAGTGGGACTAAACCCACTCGCTGGGATCATTTTCATCATCTTCATCCGGGTATTCCAGGACCTTTGCGTAGATGAATTCCCGGACCTTTGTGTGGATGAATTCCCGGACCTTTGTGTAGATGATTTTCCGGACCTTTGCGTAGATGAATTCCCGGACCTTTGGGTAGATGAATTCCCGGACCTTTGCGTAGATGAATTCCCGGACCTTTGTGTATATGAATTCCCGGACCTTTGTGTAGATGAATTCCCGGACCTTTGCGTAGATAAATTCCCGGACCTTTGTGATTAAGAAATCTTCGACCTTTCATAATTATGAATACCATGATGCTCGTAATGATTTCCACTGTGTCCACAGTCTCTCATCTCTCCGATTACTATCCCTTTAATACCACTAAATTTATCAGGGAATTGGGTTTCAGACTCAACTCTGACAAATAATTCTGACCCAACTCTGACAAATAATTCAGGCTTCGGACTCAACTCTGACAAATAA